CTATAGATGTCAACCCACCAACGACGGAAGAAATTAGAATGGCCGTCAGACAAATCAAGAACGGGAAAGCAGCAGGACCCGACAACATACCAGCTGAAGCACTGAAATCAGACGTCGAAGTAACCACAAGCATGCTTTACCCTCTATTCAAAAAGATTTGGGAGGAGGAACAAGTGCCAATGGACTGGAAAGAAGAACACCTCATCAAGATTCCAAAGAAAGGAGATCTAAGCAAATGTGAAAACTACAGAGGCATTACACTACTGTCAATACCAGGGAAAGTCTTCAACAGAGTGTTGCTGAACCGGATGAAGGATGCAGTAGATGCCCAACTTCGAGATCAACAAGCTGGATTCCGAAAGGATCGGTCGTGCACAGACCGAATTCCAACACTACAGATCATCGTCGAACAATCAGTTGAGTGGAACTCGTCACTATACATCAACTTCATTGATTATGAAAAGGCATTCGACAGTGTAGATAGGAGGACATTATGGAAACTTCTTCGACACTACGGAGTTCCTGAGAAGATTGTCAATATTATCCGGAACTCATACGACGGACTACAGTGCAAAGTAGTGCATGGAGGACAGCTGACGGATGCATTCCAAGTAAGGAGCGGAGTCAGACAAGGCTGTTTACTCTCTCCCTTCCTCTTTCTTCTGATGGTCGACTGGATTATGAAGACCTCGACATCTGAAGGAAAACACGGAATACAATGGACAGCTCAGAACCAATTAGACGATCTGGACTTCGCAGATGACCTAGCCCTCCTATCACGTACACACGAACAGATGCAGATGAAAACAGCCAGTGTAGCAGCAGTCTCTGCATCAGTAGGCCTCAGTATACACAAAGGGAAAACCAAGGTCCTCAAATTCAAAGCGGAGAACAGCAATCCAATCACCCTTGATGGCGAAACTCTGGAAGATGCAGAATCCTTCACATACCTGGGAAGCATCATCGATGAACAAGGAGGTTCAGATGCAGACGTAAAGGCGAGGATTGGCAAAGCAAGGGCCGCATTCCTACAATTGAAGAACATATGGAACTCAAAAGAACTTTCAACCAATATCAAAGTGAGAATCTTCAATACGAACGTCAAGGCAATTCTACTGTATGGAGCTGAAACTTGGAGAACTACAACAACCACAATCAAGAAAGTACAAGTATTTATAAATAGCTGTCTACGCAAGATACTCAACATCCATTGGCCGGATACCATCAGCAATAGCCTTCTGTGGGAGAGAACAAACCAACTTCCAGCTGAAGAGGAAATTATGAAAAGACGATGGAAATGGATAGGACATACATTACGCAAATCGTCAAACTGCATCACGAGGCAAGCTCTAACTTGGAATCCTGAAGGGAAGCGGAAAAGAGGAAGGCCAAAGAACACATTACGTCGGATAATAGAAGCAGATATGAAAAGGATGAATTACAACTGGAAGGAGCTGGAAAGGATTGCCCAGGACAGGGTTGGATGGAGAATGCTGGTGAGCGACCTATGCTCCTTCACGAGGAGTAACAGGTGTAAGTAAGTAAGTAAGTTAAACACATGTTAACTGGTGATCTAATTAGTTTTTGCTCAAAACTATACGCTAAAATGTTTGATGATAATGATATGATTAATAAAACTCACGAGGGAAAATGTTTATAAAAAATTTTTGTACAACCACTCTTCCTCCCTACCTTGATCATCGAAATAATCGATACTGAAGTGATTTACAAACTTATTACGACCTCCTTTGTCAACGTTCTCATCATTTATATTTTTATATAGCGTTCTCTTTATTCTTGCATAACCGATATCATTATTATTCAACTTTGTATCAAATGCATAGCAATTATTGTGTAATCTATCGATGCTGCAATACCGTATGTTCTAATTCATTTATTAATCAATGTCTTTGAGTATTAAAGTTATCCTAACCATTTACACTATTTATTTATTGCTATTTAATCAGCACTATTTTTAAAAATACTTAAGAATTTGTAATATTGCTACATAATATGCTATCTTTTGATTAGTGCTGACTTCATTATCATTAATGTAGAATCTTAATGATGACAAATGTATTAAAAAATAATTTTTTGCCGTTCTATTCACTTTTCTCTAAATAAGGATTTCTGCTTCAGTGATTTAACAGCTAAGAAGAATGTTTAATTATTATTAATGTACTTTTGAGTCACGTTAATAGATGTAGATTTCCTTGGTTGAGGTTCGTGCGATTATCATAACAAAGGGTTCGAGAACGCTGGGTGACATGGTTCATAATCCTTTGCAGTCGTAGAGGTGCATCCACTCCTAGTTTTGCTCTAGAACCTGAGTCCCGAAATCTCTCTAAAACTCTTTCATTGGCTACTGCTGATATTGTTACTAATTCTGTTGCTCTAGGATTTGTCTTGAAATAATTTTATCTCGATGTGCACATGTTTTATGGCAAATTGAATCAATCTACATATGTGTCAAGTCCTACGTTGCTTATGATGACTACTATCCTGATAATACTGACAATAAACGTATGTAAACGGCGTGGACTATCAATTTCAACTGTTGTGTTGCAGATATAAGACAGGTTAGATATGCTTGAGTCTCGATAATAAAGCATAAAATAAAAGTGTAGCTCAAGGATTAGTACATGGAGCTGTACGATCATAAAAATTAAGATTCAATATTTATGAGGTGCTTATAAAAAACTAACAGTTGTAGCTGAATAACCTTAATTATTAAGGGCTAAGATATAACAAGAGAAAAAGCAAACAATGAACTGATATACTTAGATTTTAAATATGTATGTAACACAGTAGTAAAGTGTACCAGTGAATATAATTCATAGTATAATTAGATTTCAAATAGGCTATATGAAAAAATTTCCAGTAAATGAATTGTAAAATAGAAAACATCTGTTATAGTATTACGTTGCTTTAACCAAGTATAATCAGTAATAGTTTTTGCTTTCTTCATAAAAATTCTACTTTTTACTATTGTGTTAAATTTTAGAAATTACTTTTCAACGGCCAGTAACTAGTTTATATATATATATATATATATATATATATATATATATATATATATATATATATATATATATATATATATATATATATATATATAGTTAAAGATGACTTATCCTATGTAGATTGTATTGAAAACGAAAAATTATCTAACTTAGATATGTTCAATAATCTCCACAACCACATACAGACAATAATTGAGTGTTCATCAGTAACCAATTTTGAAAGACTTCTGGAGTTCTAGACAGAAGTCTCAATCAGTATAGTTTAACTGTATCGGGTGTGAGAACAATTCTCACCTAATACAATGAAAGATTATCACGCAATATCTTGGATTGATTGAAGTTACACTTGTACACCAATAGATTATGAATCAACGATCTACAGGTTAAGCGTTAGCATGTGAGACCGAAGACCCAGGGTTAGGACCCCCTATGGTGTGGCCGTAGGTGATTGAGAAGTCCCATACTAGGATGAAACGACCTTCCAGTGCTTCTAGCTTTCCGATGATTGTCTAGCTTGAATTGATTCGTGATCTTGATAATAAATATAGAAGTTGAGTTATCATTCATTAGTAGGAAGAGTGAGTAGATCATGGTGATATTTATTTCACAATTACATTCAATTATTTTTTTATGTTATACGAATGCGTGGATGATCTATTGAGAATAGGAGAATAACGATGACATCGACCACAAGATGCGTAAACATAATTAATTTACCAACTGACAAATTCATGTACTCGGCTTTTAGTCAAGTATTAGTTGTAATGTTGCACACCAAAACAGAAGAGGGTAGGGGTTTGAGTCTACAGCTTAATAGATGGAAGAATTGTGGGATGTGTTAGATAACAAGAGTTTTGAAATATAAGTGTGTCAGTCTTTTAAAAGAATTAATGCATTGATTAGTCTGATGTTCTATATTTACTGAAAAATTTGTCTCCTTAACCAATACTCAGTAATAATCTTGCCATGTTGACTAACATATATGATTTGATAATAAACAGTGAACTATTTAGTAATAGAAGTGATGTTTAAGAAAAGCACATATACTTTTAGCACAACCATTGTAAGTGTGAATGTTGTTCACAAGGGCCTCCACTTTCTTGTTGCATGCGAGAGCATCTCTCTAACTATCATAACTTGGCAAAACAAACCTGCACCGACTACATTAACTATTCCGTAAAATGTACTAAATTTAGCCTTTGATAGTTAAAATTGTTAGAAATTTATGATAAAAAATTGCTATACTAACATTCTTACAAAAATAATTCGTTTACAGACTTAAGAGGAATGTGTATGTGTACAACTATACAATTTTGAATATAGACTCACTGAAAAAATGTATTCAAATGAAAAAATATATATTTTGTATGGAGGTGAGCACTAACAAGAGCATAGACTTCCTTAGGATTGCAGATATACCTTATTATATTAAGTGTGAACTAAATTATAAAATCTAGACTCAGACCATATAGTCAATTCCCACCACCTTTAATGATGTCCATCGTAACACTGAATCAATTAACCAAGTGGCTAATATTTTAAACACAAATCGGGTAGAATTAGATCACTATATGAGACATTGCACTGATTACTACTCAGTGATAAATTAGTTAGATATATTGTGGCATAGTGTTTAAGGCAACCGACAAATCAACCAGTAGGTGGCATAATATAATCTCGTTGCACATATTTAGGTTTGAGAAGCAGAGTAATATCACTAGCACCTACAAATATAATATGATTAACAGCTGAGTACATAAACCGGTACTTAGTAGGTAAACTTATATATATAAGCTGATGTATATAAACCTAATCATAAAATTTAAACAACTCCTGACTACAGAATTGACAAAAGTCCAGGATACCCGACCAATTACAAATACAATAACACTCACACACACAAACACCAAATACAAACATACATATACGTATAACTTTTCAAAACATTATCGATAAAAGACAGAAAAAACAACAAGTATCAATTAAGTCATTTATTTATTCACAGTATAAATCGTTAAGAAAAAAATATATGAAGGCACAGCACTCACACAGACAGAGACAAAAACACGCCTTTTTCGGACAAACATTACGACAGAAAAGTAACAAGCACTGACACAAATCATAATTGCAAACACCTATAATTCTGAATGTTAATATAAGGCAGAGAAACGAACCGATAAATGGTAGAACTATTCGCTTACAAAAATATATGTTGTAAAAACCAAAATTCATTTGTATTTGTTCCACACACAAAAAAAGAGAATTAATTGACACAACCAAATATTGATAGCGTAATGTATATGCCTAATAAAGAATTATTATCAACTTAGGATAGACTAAAACCATTTTTATCAAAATTTATTTAGATAAAAAGAGAGGGGGGAAATATATGTATATATATTGTCATGTTTTAATGAACAAAACCAAGATGAAATTAATTAATTATCCAATTGTCAATAATTAGTTAAGTGAGAGAAAATACAAATTCCAAACATTATACAACATATAACAAGGCACTTTTTTTCTCTATTTAGTAGAAATCACACTTGTTTATATTATTGAAAGAAGACAAAACAGTAAAACAGGGTATAGGCACAAATTGTTTTCATTGATATCCCATGAATAGCGTATATTAATTGTTCGGTTTAAGAGAGAGTAGAATACTACGCATTCTTGACGTATCAATTGCAGTTTTTTGCTTGGACTGAAAAATGAAAAAAAAAACGGAAGAGGAAAATAAATATGGAAAAAAAACCTGTAAATGTAAGAAATATTCATTGAACACATTATGGAGACAAAAAACAATATAATTAGTTAACATAATTAGTCATTGAAAAGGCTTATTCAAAAAACAATGTATACCACGTTGTGTCTTTTGTTAACAATTACCGATATTACTTACTCACTTACCCCTGTTAACCCTTGTGGAGAATAGGCCACCGACCAGCAATCTCCAAACTACACTGTCCTGGGCTTCGGTTGGTGGTCGCTGTGTTGTATTTCAGGATCTTGATTTCTCCATTGTGTATATTGAGGCCTACTGATGCAGAGGTTAAGGCTACAATGGCTGTCTTCATCTGCACTTGTTGCTGTGTATAGGATAAAAGGACTACATCACATGCGAATTCCAAATCGTCTAGGTGCATCTAAACTACACACTGTATTCCGTGCTTTCCCTCAGATGTGGAGGTTTTCATAGTCCAGTCAACTACCAGAAGAGAGAAAAAGAGGGAGATTAAGCAGCCTTGTCTGACACCAGTCTTCATTTGGAATACATCTGTTAAATGTCTTCTATGCACCACTTTGCAGTGTAGTCCGTCGTATGAATCCTGTTTGATGTTGACGATTTTCTCAAGTACACCATAGTGTTGAACAAGGTTCCATAAGGCCATCCTATACACACTGCCAAATGCTTTCCCATAGTTCAGGAAGTTGATGTAAAGTGACGAGTTCCATTTAATTGATTGCTCAACGATGATCCGCAGTGTTGCGAATCGGTCTGTGCACGACCGATCCTTACAGAATCCAGCCTGTTGATCTCGAAGTTGGGCGTCTACTGAGTCATTTATCCGGTTCAGCAACATTCTGTTGAAAACCTTTCCTGGTACTGATAGTAGTGTGATGCCTCTGTAGTTCTCACATTTGTTCAGATCTCCTTTCTTTGATATTTTGATGAGGTATCCTTCTTTTCAGTCTGTCGGCAATTGTTCTTCCTCTCAAATCTTCCTGAATAGAATGCTGAGAATCCTTGTCTGACTTTAGTGATTCAGCTGGTATTTTGCCTGGTCCTGGTGGCCATGATGATTTCTTCGATTGTTGATGGGGTGACATCTACGAAAAGGTCTGTAAGCGCTGCTTTGAATACTAACAGTAAGTAAATTGGATTTAACAAAGTACAATTCTTAAGGGAACTTAGAAGATTGCTGGAAGTAAATCTCTATACAGAACACACTTTCACATCTTAACATTACGAGGATTTCAGTTGTTAGCTAGACATATCTCTAAAGTACTCCGAGACCATATACGGAGAATACCTCAACCTTATGGGAAGAGGAAAATGAAAATTTAGATATTTATAACTGTACATATGCTGTTTGTTTGAAGTTGACGAAATAGATTTCACTTTTCAACAGATCATTAATAGAACAAGCTCAATAACAATTTTCCTGAGGCATTGTGTCATTAAAATAGCAACTGCCTACGAATCAGTCGTTAACGATACTTAAGAGACAACTGTTCTAACTCACTAGAATTAAAGTACATAGTACCATATCGTTATAATAGTTAAAGATAGCAAAGGATAATGAATACAAATTAGAGAATTTATGGAATGGCCTCATATCTTCGTCTTTCAGACATTGGTTTTCCATTGAACAATTCGAATGCCAACTAGAATTGTATGTCGCTAATTAGGCGGTTGTAATGTTTCATAGTTTCAACAATTAAATAAGTGAACAAATAAACAAAACTCCAGGACCATAGAAAATTACTTAAGGTTTATTCGTGTACCTCCGGTTTTCCATCATGTACAGCCTTATACATAAAACTCTGTAGATTGTATAATTTATAATAAAGTGATTTATTGGGTCGACGTTCCACTTACGCGTACAAACAAGACCATGAATATTTCCGCATCTGACAGTGATATATTATAAGTACATATTTAAATAAATGAATGAAAATAGAATCCAGTTAAGAAATTTAAACTGTGTTCAATATAGTTAACGAGGACTTAAGATGAAATTAAATAAGAGAACAACTTAATGCCAAGTTACTTAATATATCTAAAACACGGAAACACCTAAGTACTGCTATTTGACGGGTATTTTTTAATCGTTTTTTTACTGATCATTTTGACCAGATGCTGAATTAAGTAAAATTACGGATATAATCCGAGACTAAGTACCAAGGGCTTTAAGCTATAACACAACTGGGGTTGCTCTGACTAAAATAAATAGAGCAGGATTCAAACAATTAAAATCCAGTGATTACACGTGGAGTCTTGTGTAACCAACGCTTTTAATTAATGTGTATTTTTTCTAACCATGAAAGTTCTAATTTATCTTCAATGAAAAGAAATTAAAAAGTTTTTTAACAGGTTAGGTAATCAAATAAAATGATATCTTAAATGCATACTTGAAAATCACATAAATTGCAAATACTTTCCCAAACGGCTGTATCTTTCACAGATGGTTTGCTACCATCACCATTCATGAAATGACCATTTGAATCATGTTTTTTCTCACGTAATTCACGGGATTTTGTTTCTAATCTTTGGTGATATTCTTTGTACCAATGATTCAACTCCTATGAATATATTTCAAATGAAATATTGAAAAAGCAATAAACGATAAGTGACATGGATTCTCTTAAAAATCAGATTAAAATTTAGCAATAGACTGGTGAATTATTGAACAATAGCAGTATATATATAATGAAATCAAAACAGAAGTAACAAAACATTTTTATTTTGTCAAGTGAAAACAAGGAAATGATTAAGCCTATGTGTAGTACGAGTCCAAAACGTGCGAAAACGTGATAACCCAATGCAGATTTATAGAATCAACTGTCAACTGCCCTTTATGTACGAAGGATAATGAAAGGACAAAGTGGCGTGAACTATTAGAATAGCGGTTCGACTACACAAATCTTAGAACGAACTTCGCATTTATCGATAATCCTTAACTAATCATATTCAGAAGTGCCTAACGTAGGCTATTCATGACCACTAGTGGTTGGTACTGGTCTGATATACTACAGTTTTAATCATTAGGATGCATCTGGGATTTATTTATTTAAACACATAAACGTTGGTACAAGAAAGCACCAAACAGATATGCGCCACATAAATCATTCGATTTATGTGAGGGCTGGGGTACTAACCGGGTGCCCAAACTGAAGCAGGTGCTTTTCTTAGGGAGCCACACACAGAGCCTTTGACCTAAAGGTCTGATCCACAAGGCAGTGGAGCAACGTTAGGAGATGCAGTCCAACGTTAGCCGGTGACCAACGATTGGTTCATACGCGATTTTCTTTAGGATCCTGGAGCCCATGTGAACCATTGGTTTGGAATCCGGGTTTTTCAACTTCCCTAGGTGGATCCTCCATATCCACCAACCCGGTTAAGGCTCCGGACATTCGCCTTTCGTCCACTCAATTTCGTAAACAACACCCCCGCCACGAGAAGGCAGTGAGTAAGACTTCCCTGGCAGTGGTGGTATGCACGTTGCCACTTGAGAGCTTTTCGAGAGGGAGAGCTGACTCTCCCTACCCTCGTTCGTACCAGGGCATTTGGGGTATGTTTTATTGCAACAGGAAGATCTAATCCACAAAGCTGGTAGTCATCTCAGCCAAATTTATCAAGTTGAACAGTAATCGGTATTCGTGTAGAAACTACAACGAAAAAGGCCCACTTTTCTGCCGTTGATGTATACAAGCCACTCGATAATGTCAAAAGAAAATCAGATATTATTAAGACCCAAAGAAAATGGACAGAACACAATGTAACAGATTATCAAAAAAGCCGATTATCTGAAAAATTACCTTTTTTCCTGTTTCCATCAACTCAGCACATTTTTTTTCTTCTTCAGCATCTTTAGCCTTAATTCTTTTCTCGAATTCCTCCCGCCAAGACTCAGTTCCACCAACATTACTGTCGGATGATACAATTGTGTTGAAATCATGAACAGAATTGTTAGCTCTACAATCAGGTTCAGCCAAATTGTGTCCAAAATTAGAGCCATTCATTGTAGATTGTCCATTAAGAAACACATAACTGGGATCAGAGACCTCGGTATCTAAATTATTCAGTGAGAAAGCTCTCAAATTAAGATACAATGAGAGAACCGACTAACTAGTTTATAAAACATCGAAAGTGTGGGCAAACTATACACTCTGCTCAATGTAGCAGACATGTTAAAATGTCGATAAAATTTGAAATACTAATATGATGGGAAAAATAAATCCAGAGCAGTTAGGTTTTAAGCCATTGAAGCGTAGTCAGTCAGTTAGTCATACGGAACGTAGGATATAAATATGTTTATATCTGTTCAAGTTTCCATACCTCATTAGCCCACCAAGATGAAATTATCAGGGCTGATCCCCAAGTAGTACACGAAGTAACAGTTTCAATGGTAATTTAAAAGATTAGACATTTAAGATACAACCTGAGAAAATATAAACTAGAGAAATAACGAAAAAGTTTGATGAGGAATTTAAAAACTTAAGATCTGAGTGACGACAAAGGGTGAATGCACCTAAGCAATTACAAATGATTATAAACCAGGTTACTGAAGTCCCTAATCGTTGGTTAACATAATCACACGGACACCAACCACGTAGTCTGAACCTACTTACGTGGTTCATTCCAATAGTTAGTATCTTCCGACTGATGCCATTTCTTGGTTTGGACGCCATTGAATTTTCACGACCTACTTTACATAAGCCATCATAACGCATAGAGGTAGTTGACGGATGGGCTTACGTAATACATGTCCTAACCACATCAGTCGATAAAAATTCACTGATTCGCCATACTAGTACTCTGTATCTAAACAACAAACCGATTTCCTTCTGTTTTTTATGGCATTTAATTATATCAGAAGGGTTTTGTGGATATTATAGTAATTTCAATAGTTGAGATCATGAGTTAATTTAAGCTAAACCACCATGGAAAAAACGGAAGCACTGGACGGCCTTTTCGTCCTATTGTGGGACTCCTCAGAAGTGCGTATCCACGATCCCGCCTCGAGAGATTCGAACACAGGACCTATCAGTCTCGCGCGCGAGCGCTTAACCACTAGACCCCTGAGCAAGCATCCAACGTTGTTAATGTCTAACTTCAACTAATCCAAGAAACTGAGTGACACATTTAATTGTTTATTTTGTATTAATAATTTATGCATGAGTATCATATTACTATATACAATAAAAAACCTATTATTTTGACATGCTGTCTTGTTGGGTATTAGTTTATAACGAGTTTTGAGACAACAATTTGATCTCGTGAACAATTATCACTCAACCAAACTTCGTATCGTTGTATTTCATCTATTGATAAGCATTTTATTTGATTTTTACTGTCTAAAATCTGCTCATTAATTGATATTATCCGTGGCAACAAAATGGCCTTTTTTAAAGGTGACATAAAGTACTCCACCTACAAAATTTACCGTAATATGCTATTAATATTGTAGATCATAACCGGACTACCTACAGAAAATAGCTATCAACGTTGTGTTATGTATTTTTGGCCTCATATGAAATTTAAAGATGGTTACTCAGGATTATTAATCAAAACGAATTAAGTGTGAAGTAAATTTTGGGAAGTTTAATTTGTATTAAAAAGTGACGGAGCTCATAGTATAAAAATCACTAAGAATTCATTTTAGATAACGGAATTTTAAAATATTAAGCCGTATACTTATAGCGACTGATACCTACGAAAGTATCTACAGTGCATAGTAACATAAAAGTAAACTGAAACTAGCAATAAGTATCGATAGCTAAAACTTTAAATTCCTGCGCTTCTAATACACATGCATTTAGTTTTTCAGGCACATGATGCGATAGGGATGTGAACTAAACAGCTAACTTATACTCTCGTCATATCATACCAGTACGAACGTCGAGACAGTTCTCTTGAACGGAACTGTAACTTGGAGAATTACCACAGCCATCATCAAAAACGGACAAATAAACAATTGCCTAATATACTTAATGTCCGTTGGCCTGATGCCATCAAAAACAGCCTAACGTGGGAGAGAACGAACCAACTGCCAGCTGAGGAAATTAAGAAAAGACATTGGAAATGGATAGGACACTGTGGAAATTATTAAACTGAACCACGAGGAAATCCTGAAAATAAACGGGAAAGAGGAAGGTCAAAGAATACACAGCGCCGAGAATTGGGAGCAGATATCAAAAAGATGAATAGCAACTGGAAAGAATTGCCCAAGACAGCCGGTTAGAGAATCATGGTCGGCGACGTATGCTTCATGAAGGGTAACAAGAGTAAGTCATGCCCCTACCCACTTACATCTATAAAACAAAAACAGACCTATATTTCTCAGTATGTTTTAGGTCACGTCAGTGACTTCGTGCAGTCCAATACACTTAGCTCTCTTTATCTGTTGATACAATACCTTGTACAGACATTTTAACTTCGATCCACACTTTGTATAGGCTAATGAAACTACCAAAACACTAAAAGTGAAAAAGGTAGATCGAGGATTAAACCTGTAGAATACTGGTCAAGAGCCGAAAAATTAAGCTGCACAACTTAATTTAGCATAAAAATAATGAGAAAACATTGGTATGGCACAAAGATGAAACTGAGAAAAAAACATAAAATTGTCGACAACAAATTTGATGTAGCACATTTATACAATTGGAGCAAAGTAGCAACAATAATAGAAAGAAACAATTATTCTTGGGAATACGGTTTGAAAAGAAGAGTGGGACGGTATGCGTGGGAGGATATTGGAATTTAAGATAAAGAGTGGATGCATCTTCCAAGATATTAGTAAAATCATCAAATGCACATATTTTCGACAGATTATTTAAGAGCATAAGTTCATCTAACAAGTAGATGTCGAAGAACAAAACGATTGATTATTTGGCAGATGACGAAGGTGTGACCACGACATGTCCGAAGCATCTTAATTCGGTCTTACAAATTCTTACGGTTTAAGTTTGATTAAAAGAAGACATACCTCGATAATTATGGCATCCTTTAAGTAGGAGCTTGTTAGAGAGGAGAAAATTTGTTTAATAATAGAAGGATAAAGTACGATGGAAGAGAAGCTAAGGTATATCTTTTTGATGAATAATATGAAAAGACCAAACCAAATGTCGATCCACGCACAGCAAATGAAAGGGTAATGCAATAAAAATATTAGTCTTAGGAGGGGGAACTAGTTCGTCCATTTGAGTTAACCTTACCTTAAACGGCTCGAGTGCTTGTGGGTTAGGCTTTGGAGCGGTGGTCTTGTGTTTCAAGCGTCCGAATTCCAGTCCAACGTTTGAATACCAATCTACCTACTTTAGTTTATGTAAATGGATGGTATCATAAGCTCTCAAACTTAAAGTACTTCGCAGCCAAGTACCTAGCACATGCATTAATTTAACTTAATTCTTGAAGATTCTATGGACTACCGAAAACGCACTAGCCGTTAGCAGAACAAACACCAACGTATAATCTAGCGAAACATTAAGCTGGGATTCTTAAACCCTACAATCTGAAACTTGGAATCAAAATTAATTCAAAACATCAATCCAATTCACATGGATTTAAGAACACGTTTTAATTTTTGTTCCTTGCTTGCTGTTACATCTATCAAGACTGTTACATATAGGGCATTTAGAATTTGACACCTTATGATTACTAAAACGTAATATATTTACACCTCACTATTTATTTATTTATTTTAACACATAGATATTGGTACAAGGAAGCACCAAATACATATGCGCCACACAAATCTCACTCGATAGTGTGAGGGCTGAGATACTGCCCGGGTGCCCAAACCGAAACAGGTGGTTTTCTTAGGGGGCCACTCCCCGAGCCTCCAACCTGAAGGTCTGATCCACAAGGCAGTGGAGCATCGTAAGGAGACGCGGTCCCATGGAAGCCGGTGACCAACAATTGGTTCATACGCCATTTGTTCCCGCAGGACATTGGGGCTCATGTGCACCATTGGTTTGGAATCCGGTTAAAGCGCCGGACATTCGCTTTTCATCCTCTCATTTTTGTAAACAACACCCCCGCCAAGAGAAGGCAGTGAGAAGAACTTCCCTGGCAGAGGCTATATACGTGTGGCCACGTGAGAGCATTTCGAGAGGGAGAGCGGACTCTCCCCACTCTCGGCCGTACCAGGGCATTTGGGGGCACCTAACTACTTGAATTATGAAGTTTATACAAGTAAACAAATGCAGCTGAGATTTTCAGCTTCCCCAACTGTTTTGAATAATACTTAAGTACACACGGAAAGTAAACATAATCCTAAAATGTGATCTCCTGACTTAAACCTAGTTATGGTATGCAGATCACACCTTTATCATTACGAAAGATGCATTAGACCAATCTTTTGAACGTAATAACAGTATATCAAACAGTAACATGCCCCCTAAAAGGATTGAATTTGCTTAACGTAAACATACCTCGACTGTTTATTCGAAAGAGACCAGTGTAATTGTTAGAAAATTAAGAAATTCCGGAAGCCAGAAAATTTTGCGAAATAACCGAAATATCGGTCAACATATCCTTATTAATAAAAAAAATTACTGAGCAAGTAGCGGACAGATTTTATTATTTTTCTAAGCAAACGACAGACAAGGACATTGTTGTGAATGTAATTGTATCTACACAGAGAATGAATGACTACTCTCGAATTTAAAAGTATCAATATTGTGGTAAGGCAAAAGTCCTAACGAAAAAACGGATTATTAGGTAGTTATCTCACATCCGATGGTATCGCAAGCACGTGAGTTATCATTAAGATCACTTAAAACAACTGTTGCTTTTTCAGCAAAATTAATATTTTCGAAATGACTAATTAGGTTTTAGTGTGAAATTCATCCATCCACATAGCTAGAAACAAGTATTGCATGTCAATTTTTATGCGTGTGATAAAAAATATCCGTAAATTCATGAACGAGTTTTTTATTATTCATGTTAAAACTATTTATCGATCATAAAAAATCGTTTCGTAACCAAACACAGTTATCGCGCATTTCAAAGAGTAGTTCAGAATCTTCCAGATGCTTTGCTTTCATCGTTCTTTTCCATGCAATTTTTTAGACTTCAGAAGTAAAAAACTTAGGATGTGGAGTGGATCTCTTTCCAATTTCGCTGCTTTAGAATCGATGTTTATTCGAATCCCAAACAGAAGAAATAAAGGCGACAATTTTGAGGATAAATCGGAATGAGTAAAGGCAGAGGGCGCGAAAAACCTCTGCGTCGTACCCTGCCAGAAGAAAACAGTGGATAGTTGTGTCTTAACCTCTCCCTATGGATCAATGTTTCGAAATTTACCCCAGGGTTTACTTTCCATCGAAAATTATTTTCTGGTCAAACGTTCTAATACGTAAGAGGCTCTAAAGTAGTAACGGATCGACTTGAAGAGACACATATGTGGATAGGCACATACAATGGTTGAGAGATGAAACAGTGTTATTAACAAAGCTAGCAGTTCAAGCTGTCTGAATATAGATGACAAAGCAAAATGAAACAAAATTGTGGACAACTAACTTGAAATATCTTCGCTAAGCTTCAAATCATCGCCTAAATCCCCAAGAGCCTCCTGTTCACGAGCAAGAAAGTCAGAAACTGGGTCAAATTCAGACATTTGAAATATAAGTAACGTGAGCAGTAGAAAACTTTCAAATAGCCGGCAAATGTAGTGTTCCAATAAATTGCCAGAAAACTTCATATAATATATATATCTTTTCTTCGGTCACCATTGCTAAATACACCGTTTTTCTCACGTTTCGTGACCTAATGAGATGGTGAAAATGACAAGGATTTGCGTAAATAATGAATACACCCAATTAAAAATGTGAAAGATACCAGCGAAAAGGTTTAAAAAACGTAACTTTTCGTCTAATGTGAATTTATCACATAACGAAAACAAAGTCACTTTTCGTACATTCCAAGACACTTAAGTAATTATCGAACATTTTACAGAAAAGACAGAAGATTGAAAATATTTTTGTAGTCATTATAGAAATAGAATCTAAGAGCCTATAGTTAAGGCAGTCACAGAAACACGGTTGACGCAGTCTGTGGACAGTAAGGCACTTGATTCTGGACGCTTCACGTTTCTAAGAACCGTAAGAATACAGAAGCGTAAAGGAGAAGAAGTTGCTCTATTCATTAGAAATGCCATTACATTTATCGTCATTGATAACATATCTCACAAAAGCGGAACGTCAGAATTGATTGATCGCCGCTTGAAATACGCAAAAAGAGCTGCTGATTTGTTTGGTCTACCGCAGTCCAAACTGCGAGGTGAATCGAGTCTGGCTAGATGGTCTCGACACCTGGTCATCAAGTAGTCGAGGTTTACTCTTAGGAGATCTAAATGCACCTACGCTAGGCTGGAAAAATCAGAGGACTCAATTTTTTGAAAATTCTATCGAACAGTAACTAGTTGATGCGGTTATCGAATGTACCCTAGTGCAACATGTGAGAGTGGTAACTAGGTGCCACCCGGACTCCGAATCATCCTTACTAGATCTCGTAATGGCCCACTATGAAGATAATGTCGCAATCCTTTATTATACGCCACCTCTAGGCAAAAGTGACCATACAGTTCTAGTCTTTGATTTCCATATAGTTGTCGGCAGTGAGAATGTGTCAGCTCAAGCAAGACCAAACGTCTAGAAAGCAAATATGCAAGATATTACACATTCAGCTTCCTTAGTAGATTGGTCAATAGAACCAGAGTCCATCGTTGAGACGGCTACACCAAGGGGTCTGACAAACTCCCCACCGTGATTCAGTAAAGAGGTTAGCACCCTTCTCCGTAAGAGGCGAAAAATGTGGGAGAGATTTAGGTTACTGGGTACTGACGAGACGAAATCTTAGTATCGGAAAGCTTCAAAGACTTCAAAACTACCGCACACTGCTGTGGGATAGCCGACAGAGGTTTTAGAACCCTATGGTCAATATGTAAGGCCTTTAGCCATGTCGATGCTAAAACACTTTTGATTTCGTATACAGTACTCGTTCGTCCTAAACTCGAGTATTGCATACAAGTGGCTAGCTCCTGCCAAAAAGAGGCAGTGAGTTGTCGGAAAGGGTTCGGAGAACCGCAACTAAGCTGATTCTCGGGATGGTGAAGCTTTTGTATGATGCCCGATTGGCCAAACTAAACCTATTTCCATTGTCATATAAAAGAACGAGAGGTGACTCGACCACGGATTTTAGATTACTTAGTGGTAAATTTGCACCTGATATGCCCTCACTCTTCCTGTCTTTCGGAACAGAAAACTTACGAGGACACTCTAAAGCGTTCACAATCCCAGAACAGATTACTTATCAGCTGACTATCGACTTCCCCATCGAATGGTATGCATTAACTCAACACGTTATCAAAGCTCGATCTGTCTACGCTTTCAAAAGGAAGTTGAATCAACTGAGTGATCACCACTGCCAGGATGAAGACAGGCCACCTAGTTTACTGTCCCTCCCAAGCTGAGACTGATTCAGAGATTTTCAAACTGCAGTAGAGTGTATCTGGAGCGTATCTTATGGCTAAATATTACGAACATTTTTAAAGCGAGTTGAAATGTGAAAGGTTTGTAGCAACAAGTAACCCATTATTTTTTATGCGCTTTAATTTTAATTCAACATGCTCCGAGTTTGAGTATTCACACTATTCTTTTTTTAGTTTTCTAAAGAAATATTCTATATAGACAGTCAGATACCTAGATAGGTACTCCAGATTGTGAATTTAAAGGTATAGAGGAATAAGATTTTGCAGACAATAATTTCTTCGGTAAAGTGTGTGCAGTTTTTGTTTAAATATATACATATATATCATATAAAAAGGAAGTGAACATTATTTGGCACGTTAATGAATTCTATAGAAGCTCTATAGAGTTTTAATGAAGATTTCACAGTCAATAATATTATGAAGGCCATCACGAATATAGGTGATCTATCTGGTCTAAATTTCGCCATTGCTGTTATTTCCAGTTTGTACAACAATTCAAATACTCCAAATCATCACGCTTTCCAAACTAATCATCTACAACAACCTTTCTCAGTGATGACGGAAATAAAAAATAACTGTGCAACGCACCAGTTAAAAAGTCATCATAGTAGATCGCTTTATTCAATATCTTGCTCATAAGGGAACATCACGAATATAGGTGATCTATCTGAATGACTGTAGTCTAATTGTGAAGCCGCCTAGGTAACATCAGAACCATATCTCTCGGTCGATACTGAATATGATTACATTTTTTACTGTACCTAGACATTGTGGCTTTTTAATGACCATAAAAAATAAACTTGAACTCATTTCGAGTGAATGTTTTACTAAAAACTGGATGGACGAACAGTGTGCGAAGACCTCCTCATGTACCTAACTATGAAATGAAATTAAGAAATTTTCGTCAGTCACATTTTATTATGACGATGTTTACTAGAATATTTGGAGAACGGTGATGTGTGGTCTAACATTGATGTGTTCAAGTCTGATGGACTACTTGTCTGGGCTTGCTAACATTTACTGAACTAACAAAGTAGTAAAGTAATGTAACAAGCCATGTGTGTTCATAAACGATAAATGCAAACAATACAGAATAAATAAGAATTTAATTGTTTTTACAGTATTGTGAAATGCAATGAAGAATTTCAAAATATAAGGATTCTTGGTTTACCCATCATCGTATGTCATCTTAAGCGCATACTTATATTCACCAGCATTATTCAAACTTGAAAAATTTAAATATTCTTATTTTCAGCTGGTAAATAGCAATCGCAGTGCTATGTAGCCTTAGTGTTTTAATATTTCAGTGTCATAGAAACAAGGTCGCTCAGTTATTCATATCACATTTCGTGTTTCGTTGGAAAGTGGCTCTTTTCAATTTCTGAAAGAATTATTTTTTGTCTTTTTTACAACACAACCTTTCACATAATTCTATGAGAAGTTACATGGTATGTTACCTCAATGTTACCATATCCCAATCTCTCGAACCTGAGGAAGCCACAATTGAAAATTTTGTGGAAATGGTACTGAAACCACGAAATTTCCTCAGAATCTTAGTACACTTTCTTGCAGTCGTTCCGCATTCATTTATTACACAATCTGTAAATTTATGGGAAATTTTATGAAAACTCGGGAAAATCACTAAAGTTTGGTGGCTTCCACGAAGTTGTGAGATTAGAAAAACCACATAATTTATCAAAATTTTGGCAGACTACGCGTTTTTTCCTAAACGTTTGGGTTCCTCCCAACATTTTCTTCGGACATTGGTGAATGATCTTATATTTTACCTATTTTTCCCCAGAATCTCCCTAAGCTGCCAACTTAGAAGATAGTTTGATCCATTTTGGGGAAGCCGCTATAGTAAATTTGAGGGAAATGAGACGCGATTCCCAAAATTTCCCCAAACGTTCCCCAAACTTTGGGGAAGGCTATTTCACTTCGATGGTTTCCTCAAATTTGGCAGCTTGGGTTATTACACTTTTGAAAAATTCCTTCATATTTATTTATAAAACCACAGACCTTTGCGCGATTTCGGTTAAGAAATTCGAAACATTCACTCGAAATGAGTTCAAGTTTATGTTTTATGGTCATTAAAAAGTCACAATGTCTAGGTACAGTAAAAAATGTAATCCATATTCAGTATCGACCGAGAGATATGGTTCTGATGTTACCTAGGCGGCTTCACAATTAGACTACAGTCATTCAGATAGATCACCTATATTCGTGATGGCCTTCATAATATTATTGACTGTGAAATCTTCATTAAAACTCTATAGAGCTTCTATAGAATTCATTAACGTGCCAAATAATGTTCACTTCCTTTTTATATGATATATATGTATATATTTAAACAAAAACTGCACACACTTTACCGAAGAAATTATTGTCTGCAAAATCTTATTCCTCTATACCTTTAAATTCACAATCTGGAGTACCTATCTAGGTATCTGACTGTCTATATAGAATATTTCTTTAGAAAACTAAAAAAAGAATAGTGTGAATACTCAAACTCGGAGCATGTTGAATTAAAATTAAAGCGCATAAAAAATAATGGGTTACTTGTTGCTACAAACCTTTCACATTTCAACTCGCTTTAAAAATGTTCGTAATATTTAGCCATAAGATACGCTCCAGATACACTCTACTGCAGTTTGAAAATCTCTGAATCAGTCTCAGCTTGGGAGGGACAGTAAACTAGGTGGCCTGTCTTCATCCTGGCAGTGGTGATCACTCAGTTGATTCAACTTCCTTTTGAAAGCGTAGACAGATCGAGCTTTGATAACGTGTTGAGTTAATGCATACCATTCGATGGGGAAGTCGATAGTCAGCTGATAAGTAATCTGTTCTGGGATTGTGAACGCTTTAGAGTGTCCTCGTAAGTTTTCTGTTCCGAAAGACAGGAAGAGTGAGGGCATATCAGGTGCAAATTTACCACTAAGTAATCTAAAATCCGTGGTCGAGTCACCTCTCGTTCTTTTATATGACAATGGAAATAGGTTTAGTTTGGCCAATCGGGCATCATACAAAAGCTTCACCATCCCGAGAATCAGCTTAGTTGCGGTTCTCCGAACCCTTTCCGACAACTCACTGCCTCTTTTTGGCAGGAGCTAGCCACTTGTATGCAATACTCGAGTTTAGGACGAACGAGTACTGTATACGAAATCAAAAGTGTTTTAGCATCGACATGGCTAAAGGCCTTACATATTGACCATAGGGTTCTAAAACCTCTGTCGGCTATCCCACAGCAGTGTGCGGTAGTTTTGAAGTCTTTGAAGCTTTCCGATACTAAGATTTCGTCTCGTCAGTACCCAGTAACCTAAATCTCTCCCACATTTTTCGCCTCTTACGGAGAAGGGTGCTAACCTCTTTACTGAATCACGGTGGGGAGTTTGTCAGACCCCTTGGTGTAGCCGTCTCAACGATGGACTCTGGTTCTATTGACCAATCTACTAAGGAAGCTGAATGTGTAATATCTTGCATATTTGCTTTCTAGACGTTTGGTCTTGCTTGAGCTGACACATTCTCACTGCCGACAACTATATGGAAATCAAAGACTAGAACTGTATGGTCACTTTTGCCTAGAGGTGGCGTATAATAAAGGATTGCGACATTATCTTCATAGTGGGCCATTACGAGATCTAGTAAGGATGATTCGGAGTCCGGGTGGCACCTAGTTACCACTCTCACATGTTGCACTAGGGTACATTCGATAACCGCATCAACTAGTTACTGTTCGATAGAATTTTCAAAAAATTGAGTCCTCTGATTTTTCCAGCCTAGCGTAGGTGCATTTAGATCTCCTAAGAGTAAACCTCGACTACTTGATGACCAGGTGTCGAGACCATCTAGCCAGACTCGATTCACCTCGCAGTTTGGACTGCGGTAGACCAAACAAATCAGCAGCTCTTTTTGCGTATTTCAAGCGGCGATCAATCAATTCTGACGTTCCGCTTTTGTGAGATATGTTATCAATGACGATAAATGTAATGGCATTTCTAATGAATAGAGCAACTTCTTCTCCTTTACGCTTCTGTATTCTTACGGTTCTTAGAAACGTGAAGCGTCCAGAATCAAGTGCCTTACTGTCCACAGACTGCGTCAACCGTGATTTTGTAACTGCGTTTACGACCAGATTTGTAGAATCTTTTTACATTTTGTTTCACGTTCATACTTTGTTGAGTGATCATAGGAGTTCCTTCAAGATTACATTGTTCCTCATGCGTAGGAATATACGTTTATGTACAGGCTCTTATCGATCGAATTTCTTTGTGTTACGTAAAACATGTAAGCCTTAATTACACATGTACTTAATTTAGCTGGTAAACGTTTGGTGTGAGCTATGTTTGCAGGCTGATGTTATTAGGAATTAGTAGAAACTCAAAGTGAAATATTTGTCGGCAGAAGATTGAGAGAAACAAATTATGAAGGAAAACAGAAAGTGATCGGAATAACAACAGATCTTAAAGAACTATTGATTATGTAATGAACAACTCAAGGAAAATGTGCAAATGATGTGCTTAAATTATGATTTAACATATTTCAGTTACTTGGTTTGCCGCAAATGAGTTTTCGTTCTCTGCTCCTAAAGAGAGATCACAATTTATTTTACGAATTGACATATGATTGTTTCCTTAGTATTGCTCCTTTACACTTTCAAGGCAAGCAGTTATGTAATTAAATTGTACAGAATTTGATTATTATTTATGAAAGTTTACTCAGTCGACACAAATGCATTTTAGTTGATTCTTGTGACTTTTCTCATCTTCGTTAGTCATGTTTGACAATACTGATGGTTTTATGATATATTTTTTAGAATGTTAAGTTCACGCTGGGTATTAAAAAGAGAGTTCATTACTCTTAGGATCATATTTTCATCTTTGATTGAAATAGGCGATTTGTGTAGGAACTGTAACAGCATTTAGGGATTGCACCGAAAGTGATAAGTAGGAGACAATTCCTGAGTTTTTTGCAGCGCTTCCATAAAAATATTTCAAAAAATTAATTATTCAAAATAATCAGTTTTAATAGTTAGCCATTTAGTCATTACTTACTTAAATTTTCGAAATTAGTTTCCATGCTTTTCTCTTTATGTTATTTTTCAGTTGTTCCTCTTATCTCTGTTGGATATTTCTTCCTGAAACTATTTGAAATATACACATTGACAATATCTTGCAATTATGATTGGGGAAGTTAGTGCAAACAAATTTCTATCAGTTTTCTACAGCATTGGGAGTAAACCACTAGAGATGTGGGATAAACATGTAGCTTGTCCGTTTCGTAATATAACGGACTTATCTTGAACTCAGGTTTGTAATGGTCGAGTTTATCGAATGACTGATGAAGAAATTCAATCATATGTGTTGGAAATTCTGGGTCAAAATATAAGGTTAGACATTTTAACAGTCACCTAATTTGTCTCTTTAGTACAACATATATTACTTGTCCTAATGCTAAAAAGAAAAGCCTTGCAGTTAAAATGCCAATTTTAGTAATTGTTTTAAAGAATCTGAATAAATATTTCAGTTTCGAAGTTCAAGTAATCATTTTACATGACTACAGCTAATGTTTAGATTCTTGATGATCAAAACTTGAAGCGAAGATTTCATGCAAGTACTTGTCAAACGACAACAGTCGTTAAACCATTTGCTTGTATGATGCCAATGAAACTTGATGAAGGTTGGAATCAAGTACAATTTGACTTAGCCGATTTTACTCGAAGAGCCTATGGAACAACTTACATAGAAACAGTGAAATTAAGTGTAGGTTAACCATGTACATAACTTTTATGTTAATACTTATTGATTTTAATATTTTATTAATATGCTATTAACTGTAATACTTTAGTGCACATAAACATTGAACTCCTTTGTTCAAAAGATACTGCTATCTAGGAAAGTGTGTAAATCAATAAACTTAACTATTTTCTTAACTTTAGGAAGTTGGAATAATTCAGTGATGTCTAACCTAATCGAGACTTTCTCATTTTTCTTAATCAACCATGTGGTACTGTAGCAAACAGAAACAAAAATCACAGAATCTCCTAGTAAAATCTACGATCCATACAGTAAATAATCCATTTACAAAATGTCCATCAATTGTCTCAGATTTTGTTTTTTCTTCGTTTCCATACCAACCACTTTCTGTCCTCCTTCTCATTGATTTTCTCAACCTTCTGCCTCTAGGTATCCCACTTTCGACTGGTGATACTACTTATATCAGTAAACTTCAGTAGCAGACATCCATAGTACAATTATTTCTGTAATTAAATGTGACAAAATTTACGCTCAGTTTAACTTTTTCATTTTACTGTGAATCACATACTGACTATAAACCATGTTAGTTTGAAAATTAATTTTTTTCAAAGTAAAGCCATTCGTTTGGTCATCGAGAAAGTATTGAAAATTTTATGAGTTTGAGAATAGTTTTGCAGGACACATTGGTAAACATTGGACAAAACGTTTGATCAGTAGCATCTGAAATAAATTTAGTTCAAAATGTAAATAGTTATTTTGTTTATTTGAACTGTAAATTTATGTCTTGAGGTAGATTTCTACCTTTGACTTACCAGGCTAAGCTTAGCGTTTTAGGTTAAAATGATAACTCAACTGATGAGACTATACATTTTCAACGAGTTGGATGGATTCAGAGCAGGACACAGCTTCAGACAATAATTTTTTTGACCGTTAATTTGGTTCTTATTACGAGTAGTAACTTCTTCAATCGTATTCCATGAAATTGTCATAGTCCACGACTGGTCATTGATATTAGTATTTTGATCTACATTTTTTTCTTAGTTTACTCATTTTCTATCTCTATCTCTCTTTGTTCTCTTTGGACTATGATGATTTGGATCGATACACATTTGTGCATTGACCCACCTAGTCAATAACTACCTTACAGATTTTATTTTCTTCTCCTGACAAAAATTAAAATTTAACCAACAGTCCATTTTTCAGTACGGAAATGTGACTTGATATAAAATCTGAGATTAATACACAAAACAGAATAGTAGTTTTCCGATTTTTTCTTTGAATAAGAAGTTATATACTTTCACGATAGGAGAACCAGTAATGTGGGATATAGATTTTGCTTAACTTACTTTATTTACAAATAAAATTTGGTTCAAAATAATTTTCAAAGACTGTTTTATCAGTATGGTATTTTGTGAAGACTGTCACATTTTAACAGTTGAATTCACTAGTTAATCTAAGCCATACCACCACTGGAAATCTGGAAGTACTGGACGGCTGTTTCTTCCCACCATGAGGCTCCTCGGCAGTAAGTATCCACGATCCCGTACTCAGAACTCGAACCCAGGACCTTCAGTTTCGCTCGACAATGCTTAAACTCTAGATAACTAAGTCAGGATCAAACAGTTTTAATGTCTAATTTCAATCGATCCATGATCTTGTGCAACCCTTCATTCATTGTTTTCAGTGGGTAACTGTCTTATATGCGACACGGATAGGACTCCACTTGTCACGGCTTCTCACTAGAATTCCAGGAAATCCATCTTGATGCTAGTTACTAATGAGCATAAGATTATTATCAGTATGTGGTTTTATAGAGATCGTTATATGCTAGTGAAGATTACATTACGAGTAACTTCTGAGACCTGTTAAACTGACTAATATTATCTATATATTCTTAAGGTATTCAGTAATTAGATTATGTATATTTATATTCCCTTATTATAAGCTTTATTTTGACCTATATATTATTGTTATACGATTTACTGTTCGTAAGTTATACTCAATTTATTAGTTACAGTCTACCACGTTCACAGCCACTTTTTGGCTTAATTGCGTATGAATGTTATTTCCTATTTTATGGTGCGTTGCGGTCTGTTTGTTTGATATATAAATCCAGTATGTCTGAAATAAATGATTGGCATAATGGAGGTTGTTATTGGTATTCTAAACTCAGCTGGACAGGCTAGGCGAGCAACGGACAAATAGGACGCTAGGCTGATCAAATCGGCCGGACGTCATTGGTTTAGTATAGTATAAGAGGGAATAAGTCGTATTTTGATTGGGTAATGGATTACGTGATAACTAGCGGGTCATAAAGACACAACAGAGATTATGGTATTTTTATAGTTAAATTCATAAGGTGATCTAAGCCAAACCACCATTGAAAATCTGGATGCACTAGACGGTCATTTCGTCCAATTTTTACTTTATAGTTCAATATAGTAATTTCAAGATTCATTTGTTTTCCAATTAACCTTGATTATATGGTACGAAATTGTACTCAATAACTTTTAAACGTTAATGATAAATACCATAATGGATCCAATTCATTCATTCTATAAGATTTTCAATGTACTTTTATAGTTTCACATAAAATTCCCCTAAATAAAAGAAGTCTTCATTTTATTTCATAATCTTTATTATATGTATATAAAGATAAATAATAAACTTGTGAACTGCAGAGATTTGCAGATTTCATTTCATTTTCTGATTGTTTTGCGTGTTTATAATGAATAGAATAGAAAAATCTCGATTAGACCAGTTTATTCTTCAATTAGTTTTCCTGAGAAGTTTAGTAAATGATTTCTTTAGAACAAACAACATGTCGTCAATTGTTCCATACGGATTTCTTTTCTATTCAAGTTCTTGTTTTTAAAAACAAAAACTTTAACATACAATAGAGTGTGTAATGGTGGGATGAAAATGATCACTTTCTTGGAAATTAATCCTTTAACTATCTTAACAATAAGACCTTTAATTCTTATTCTGATTGTTATGATAATGCTTTTAAGTTGTTTAAGCTTCCATCACTATAGTTACATAGTAAATGACACTCGTTTAATCTTAAGATTATCAACAATAATCTTATTAATTTTTTTTCCTAAATTCTTAAATATAAATTAAAGGGAAAGAAAAGTAATCTATTTGAAAAGTACATTTAACTATATAATGAAATAGTTAAATATAATTTCTCTAGTTTATATATAAGTAATTAATAACATAAACTTTAACGATAAATATTACTAATATGAGTAGTTGATAATTATTCACAACATTTTTCAGTGTTTAATTACAATTCATATTTATTAATATTTGTTTAGGATCATAGATAAGTGAACTAAATTGCACCATACAGTTAAAAGGGTTAAAATAAGTTTAATTCAAATGAAACAGATTGTTGAGAGACAAGATTGAAATCAGAATGAAGTAGTTAGGCGGAATATGATTGTAAAGTCTCATCATTGCATATTACTGATCAGAACTAAGATAATAAACCAGTTCGTGTACAATGATAATGATCGCAGTTGAAACAGAGTCTTATTTTAAGATTATATCAAATGGTTATAGGTTAAACACTAACTGAATGCTTCCATGTTTTCAATGGTGTTCTAGCATCAATCGGTTCAAGAGCTCAATCAATAACTAATTGATCTCCACAACCCTATACTGATAATTACCATGTGCTCACTAGTGACTAACTTCGTGAAGGAATTCTCGGAGTTATAGTGAGGGCCGTGACCAGTGGAGTTATTCTGTGTCGGGTAGAGACAGGTATCTACCTCAGTACAATGAAAGATGGTCGCGCAATTTCATGGATTGATTGAGGTTAGACGTTAACACCATTGGATGCCGGCTCAATGGTCAAGTAGGTTAAAGCGTTCGCACGCGAGACCGAAGGTCCTGGGTTCGAACCCTGCGAGCGGGATGGTCGGTGCGCACTACTGAGGAGTTCCACAATAGGACGGAACGGCCGTCCAGTGCTTCCAGGTTTTCAATGGTGGTCTACTATCAATTCGTTCAAGATCTCAATCAATAACTTAATAATATCCACAACCCTATAGTGATAATCTTGAACTACTTATGCACATTAGCAAAATGTTTTATTTGACTTTCAATTGAATTATATTGATACTACTTAAATCAATATGATATTTCTTTTTATGTGAACATCATTTTCCGAATGCAGTTAATGATGAAATGGTTCTTCACTAAGATTTTATGTTTCTGCATTACTTCTCACTTTAATTGCTGATATTGTAGTGAACAAGAACACCAGTGGGGACAATCGAATGTATTTAACACAAAATTACAGGACTTGTTAATAAAATCTAACAATCATAAAGTAAATGCTTAATTTGCAAAATTTCCATCAAAATGACTCAGACTTTATTGCTCCTGCATTTTCATACAAATTTTATTCTGTTCCCATTCTTTGCTGTTCGATCCTCTTGTCCCTCTGCTGCCAGACCTTCTGTTCACGAGTAACGTCATATAGTACTTATGTCAGTATAAGTAGCACACCACAATATTACAAATACTTAGATAAAATATTAACAATTATTTCCAGATTTAATGAAAGTATGAAAGAATATTGGTTATTTATAGATATTACAAAACGTAGACTAAACAACTTGATTCATTTATAACTAGATGCATTAAAAATTGATTTAATGTGGGATAGTTGAGTTATGATTCCTGCCCAGATAAAATGTAAATCGATTTGAATCTTCCCATTGACATTTAGAACTCCAATTAATCAGTTTCTTATTGGCATATGTACGTCTTGTGCGGATTGTCTTGATATTGCCTTAAGTTACATACATTATAACCAGAGATGGATGATAGCTAGCAGTAGAATTCAAAACACACTTTTCTTATTTGGGACTCGTCAGCTGAACGTAACCGCACCAGAGTTGATGTTACCCCCGAAACTCGAACCTAGAACCGTTGGCTTCAAACGCCATCGCGTTACTCATCTAGCTACTAAGTCCAGATAGCCACTATCT